CTTCCTGTGGATCGTGAGGTATGCATCAGCGAGATCAATGGGGTAGGGAAGTGTCAAAATCGGAGGGGTAACGAATCGTTTAGGAAACGGGGGAGAAGACCATTTATGGATATTGATTGTGATGATAAATATTAAGGTGTGAGTATGATCGATTTTGATTGTCGTAGAGGGGTGGGGGAAGGTGTGTAATGATGGCGAGGGGGATCGCCTGGTTGTGGGGAGGTCCCGGGAGTGGGGGCAGGGGAGACAGCTTGTGGGGGAAAGATTTGGCAGGATGAGTGTGATTTAGCGTTGATGTTGGGGTTCGAGGTGAGTGGGTTGTGAGTACTGAATGCATGGGCGTTAGGAGGGGAGTTGGAGGCGATGAGTATGAGAGTGCAGGTGGATTCGGGTGTCGGGGGGGGGAAAGGGGTATGTCTGGTCGGAGGAGGATTGGGAGGCAGGTTGTGAGGGAAAAGGAGGGGGAGTAACCGGCGGTTTGGTGGGAGAGTTCGGGTAGAAAGTTGGGGTATGTGGTCGAAGTCGCCGGACCAAAGAAGCTGAGTATAATTTCATTTCGATATCCCATAGCCCTGCTCTGCAGGGTAAGCAGTCCACGTGTGCGCGCTGGCACGCACGCGCGCACCCACGCCCACTCGGTTGTATCGAGCGCGACAAGGGCAACTGGAAGTATCTGTAGTACCTGGAGGCACGCATGGAATCTCTTCACTCACAAGACCACTCCTGCTCAAGTGGGAGGAAACAAGGCTGCACCTAGCTGGAATTGTGCCCAGATCCAAGTAGCAAGACCCGGTGATAGGGACTTGCAGGAGGTCCAGCGTACAAGCAGACAGCTTCCCCCAACAAGCACTCGAGTGAAACAGCTCTCCACGTCGGCGTTTAGTCGGGAATAGTCGGGCAGGAAAGGATGAAGCAGGGCAAGCTGACAGTTAATCCTCCATGACGCTGGAGCAATCAATGCTGGTCAGGGGTCCTTCGGCCGGCCGGAAGGAAGCGTGGGTGAGTACTTATGATGTATCTTTTTATTCTGACTTGCCGGTGGAATAGGAACCGGACTGATGCTCCCCAGAATGGAAATGGAGCCAGGACCATAAGGGCCTGTTCGAAAAAAAAAGAAAAAAAGAAAAAGGAAACTGACGCCCATTGTGCAGTCGCCCGCGTACCCTGGACAAGTTTGCCTAGGTCGCCTGGTCATGCAGCGATACAAATCACTTTGACAAAGAATGTCGGCATCCACCAAACACCAGCAAACACTGCAGAGGTTTCGTCCCTCACCAGGCAGATTTGCTCATCCTGCCAGTCTGCACATGCAGGCAAACAGAACCAAGCAATTTAACCACAACCTTGGAATGCTGGGACAAAGTAGCAATCAGTGATTTCATTAAAGCTGAAATTGCTTCTATACCACTCTAAATCATGGTAACCACGGACCCAGACCCGGCCATGTCTGGACAGACGCCCAGACATTTGCCTGGATGGTCCAGACGTCCGGTAATCCGGACAGGACCGAAACCGGTTCCCTGGACCCCATAAATGTCCGGACCAGTAAGAAAAAAGAGAAAAAAGAAAAAAAAACGAGAGCGAATAATAGTATGATGACCTGCCCACTCGTTACCTCCACAGTGACTGCTTGTTACCTCCCTCCTCGTTATCTGCCCCCTCATTACCTCCACTGCATTGCCTCCTCGTTACCTCCTCCCTCCTCGTTGTCTCCTCCATGTTACCTCCTCCTCTCTCCACATTACCTAGTGCCTCCAAGTTACTCCTCCCTCACTGTCCATGTTATGTCCTCCTCCCTTCACGATCTCCTCCTCCCTCCATGTTCTGCTCATCCCTCCACGTTATTTTTGCGACGTTCCCTCCATGTTTTGCTCATCGTCTACTTCATTCTCCCTTGTTGGAGAATGGCAGGAAAGCAGCGGGAAAAAAAAAAAAGGGTCTGTAGGCACGATTTGAAAGATTTCAAATCGCGGCCCATCTGGGTCTGTCTCTTATACACATCTAGATGTGTATAAGAGACAGGTGTGTGTGTGTGTGTGTGTGTGTGTGTGTGTGTGTGTGTGTGTGTGTGTGTGTGTGTGTGAGAGAGAGAGAGAGAGAGAGAGAGAGAGAGAGAGAGAGAGAGAGAGACTGAGACAGAGACAGAGAGAGAGTGCCAACCTGTCCGCCTTTGACCTTCCTCCTCGCCCTCCCCTGCACCTTCTCCTGGACATCATCCCTCAACCTTCAACTGCCACCAGCGATCGCCCTCTACTCCATTCGTCCTTGTTGAAGATTAGCAAAAAAGCCATGAAAAAAGAAGAACTAAACTTATGAATGGAGGGGAGAGAGAGAGAGAGAGAGAGAGAGAGAGAGAGAGAGAGAGAGAGAGAGAGAGAGAGAGAGAGAGAGAGAGTTGGTGGGCACTCTCCTTGGTCGGCGATGGCAGGCACTCTCCTTGCGGGCAACAAGAGTGTTGGCGGGTGAGGACGCATACTCCAATGCAGGCCCCAGCTCACAGAAGCGTTTGGGCGGGTTTTTCCTTCGGGCGTGAGGGATTCTGAAAACAACCTCGGCAGATGTCTCTGGCGGCATCCGGGAGGCCATCTAACGGGCTCCGGTATTTTTCGGGGGCGGCCTACAATCTGAAAGACCTCCTAGGCGCCCCAATTTTCTTTTTCAAATTTTCAAAAAGGGGGGGCCCTTTCCAGACCTACCAGACCAGACCCTGGCCCCGGACCCGGACCCAGATAGCTGGACCGTCTGGAACCCGGTCCAGACGTCCGGCCAGTTACCATTCTCTAAATTGAAACCTTTTTTCTTTGCAGCAAAAACCTTTTATATATGTAGTCCTGCACAAGAAAGATCCTTGAGAAGAATGATCCTACCAATGCGCGAAAACATTTTGTATACATGGTCTCCCACACAAGGAGGATTCTTGAGAAGAATGATTCTACCAATGCACGACTGAGAAAGTGCTGCTACACTACAAACTAAAAATGTTAGCTCGCCTACATGAGCTGGAGAACAATCATAGGTGACAGCACGGGGCTCCAGGACTGGGACACTCACGTGCTGGACGAATGTGGAATGGCACATTGCTCATCGGAATTTGTGTCCAGTTCTCTAAGTAGCAATCATGGGACTTGTGAGAACTGTCACTTACCTCATGCCATCATGTAGGCAGTCAACCTAGGCTACAGTGCACTCTTGAATCCCTCCTTCGCAGGAGGGCCCTGCAGACTGCTGTCAGTACAGCCACAATTTTAGGCTACAACTCTCCTCAATCAAACAAACAAACAAACAAACAAACAACTGCAATGTTCAGGGATGCTGGACCCGCTTTCCAACAGGTGCTGCTCCCCACCAATATGAAACGGTATTCCCCAGTTCGAAGTAGCTAATGTAGGTCCCAGGGCTCGATCCCTAGTTCCCCAACTTACCTGTGTACAATACCTGTGTAGTTGTAGGACTTGAACCTGTGACCTGTAGGATAGCCACTTGCAGGTAGGTCATCGTAGGCACCAGAGAAGTAAGGGATTCGAACCACAGACCTGTAGGGCAAAAATCGAAGTAGGGTCCAGAGGTCTTCTAGAAGGTCGACCAGTGGGCAAGTGGTGTAGCTAAGTCTACTTGCGCCGTAGGACTGTGACATCTGTCGAAGTCAACTGGTAGGACCTCAGTAGGACTGCAGTGAGTCGTAGGTGAGTCGTAGTGCAGTCGAGGAAGTGTCCAGAAAGTCCCTGTCCGGTCCAGCAAGTACCATATGGGGCTAAGGGTGCCGGGGCCAGAGAATACAGGCCAAATCGGAGCTGCGCAGAAGTATAAATCAAGAGGCTGCGTCCAGCCATTCATTCATTCCTGCGGAAGCTCTGCGGAAGCGCTGCTCGGGCGTCTTGTGCAAGGGAGGTCTGCAGATGGCCTGAAGACGAAGTGGGCAGAAGTTAGTGATAGGCTAGTTAGTTGTTAGTGGCCATGCGCCATAGCCATAGACAGTTAGTGAGTGTGTATGTGTGAGTGCAGTGATTGGCGTGCATGGTATCCAGGGTGATCCGGAGTCGAGTTGCGTGTGAACTCTGAGTCGGACGTGTAAGTGAGGGCGCCCAGCGCCATAGCCAACTGAAGTAAACTTGGATTTGAGTTGAGTTGCAAGCTACCATATCTCCGAGTTTGAGTTGGGTGCACAGCGCCAAGTTATCCTCATCTGTTGCATGCATGTTTGAGTGTAAATTTGCAAGACTGATTTCAAATAGATGGAGCCTCCCCGGGAGTGCTAGGGGTGACTGCTCTTATCAGCACTCCTAGCACCGACCCGCACTGTTTGTTTTTTTTTTGAAAAAGAGAGCAAAATCACCATGTGGCAAGTGGGAATGTGTCTCAATTTCGAGCTGGGAAAAAAAAAAAAAAAAAAAAATTCAAATTTGAATGAAATGATGGCTGTAAAAGGCAAAACACAGAGGGGTAGGGTTACAACGACAAGGTTTGGATGGTAGACGGACACACATGACGTAGGGACAGTAGGCAGGGGAAACATGCAGGCTAAGCAACCACGGTAGGAAGGTTGAATGAGTGATATGCAGCCTGAGGGGCTGCTAGGACCCCCTACCCCCGTGCCTTGCCTCTCGGGGATTATCCTGAAGTGCGCCTGGGTGCTGCTAGTAAGCCTCCCGACTTGCAGGATAATCCCCAAGGAAAGACCAGAGGGTGGGAGTGGGTTGAGCCAAAGCAACCCTGCCTTGTATACGCGGCTCGAGCCACAAGGATAGGCTGACTTGCTTCTCTATCTAATCCCCCCCATTGCTTGTTCAAATAACACATGCTTGCCAGTGATAAGCAACCGGACAGATGCCCCACAGAATAGAAGGGGCTGTGTTGTTTTGTTTAAAAAAATAATAAAAAAGAAAAAAAGAAATGAACGCTGTACCAGAACTTCCATAACACGTTTAACAATATAATAAGCATTCAAACTTCAAAGATGATATGTGAAAAGAAGTTGTAGGATCGAGCGATTTTCTTCTTACTCTTCCCATGACTCCCAGAAGCTCTCCCTTCCGCAGCGCGAATGTCACATTCCTCAAGCTGATCAGATTACTCTCCGTTGTTGGATTGTCATGGTGCTCGATGACAGAAACATGCCGCTCACTTTTTCTCAATTTCAGTAATTTGCCAAATTTGCCTGGCTTTTCTTGTGGCAATCCTGGTAGAGCTGAGGCGCCCAATAAACGAAACTCGTCACAATTGGGCATGGTCCAAGAAAAAGCACCATCAACCACTTGTACGGGACAGTCACAAAGAGCGGTGTCACTGTTCAATCCCGCTTGATTGTGGATGTTTACCTCCTCAGGTCCAGAAATCGTTGGAATAATACCGCTGCCCCCAAGCTGGAAACACAGAGCTGCGGGTGTCAGCCACCACCCCAGGCCCAAACCCTTCCACACCCAAGTTACCCAACCCACCGATCTTTCCCATGCCACAGAAGAGCCTCTGTTCATCTGACTGATTCCTTTCATATTTTGTTTCCTTTTCATATTCTTAATTTTATGAAAGGGGCTATCCCCCCCCCCTTCCCCCCCAAACAAGCCCAAGCGGGCTAGCTCTTGTTAAATATCCTACTTTTTTGGCATATGCATGTAGGAATAGAGGAAATTCTAGCAGACTATATTCACCATGAAGTAACACAAAATTTTATTTTTCAGATTTTTTTTTTTTTGAGAGTGTTTTTTTTTTTTTTTTTTTTTGAAACGGGCCCAGTGCCCAAGGCTGATATTACGAATAAGAAGGCCGGGGTCCTCACAGTCTACCCGGGTGACCAAACCGAACTTGCTGAGAACTGGGCTCAGCGTTCCTCATATGATGATGATGATGATGAATAATGACGATGATGATGATGATGATGATGATGAACTTCTGCCGATTCTGTGAGATAATCATACTAGTGATGATAATGATTAGTATATAAAAAATATAGAAGTATTGTACTATATCTAGTATATCAGCAATTTTGACCTCCTACTCCTGGAACAACTCCTAGCCCTCCCTGTACCAGGACATTACATCTCAGAGACAATGCCATCCAAACCAATGTCAACCATAGCTGACCTGTTCTCACCACCTAGACCATCCCCGGACCCATAGGTTGTCAAGGCAGCCCCCCTTGGTTCACCACTGGATTGCCTTCCTCCCTCAGCAAAACCCCAGATCTCTCTACAAGGCCTCACACTCCTGCCATTTGCAGGTTACAGGGCAACTCCCCAGCTCCGGCCAGCGTCGTTCTGGCATCGGCAAACCAGGGGCACACAACAAAGCAACGCTGCAGATATCAGTCCAGATTCGACCATCTCTGAAATCCTATATCCCAAATGAGGAAGAAGGCCAGATGCTGCCAAGAATTACAGAACACCAGAAAGCTTTTTCTTTTTTTTTTTAATGATGGAGATTAGTAAATCAGCTGATGATGACATAGATGAAGACTAGATCTGCAACTCGCTGCCTCACAACCAATGAGCAACTCCTGCTGCCCCCTGAACCAGACTCAGCACTCCAAAGATAAAATCAACCTGCCCAATGGCTGCCTTTGCTGTCGTGTTCTCACTACCAAAACTATACCCGGCCTCAAAGGTCATCTTCGTAGTACCTCTCCTAGTTCGCCATTGGATTGCCTTCCTCCCTCGACAAATCCCCAGATCTCTCTACCAGGCCTCTCGCTCCTGCCACAAAAGCACACAAATGGTTAACGGGGACCTCCATTTTGGTTTTCTTATGAATTGACCTGAAAAATGGGGGGTCGGCTAACCTTCTCTCCAAAAGCAGGTCACAGGGCAACACCCCAGCACCGGCCAACGTCGTTCTGGCATCGGCAAACTAGAAGCACAAAACACAACTACCTCGTAAGACATCAGCCAAGATTCCAATCATCTCTAAATTCCAGAATCCGATAAGAGAAGAAGCCAGGTGTCACCTAGGATTGTAAAGAAGCCAGCTAAGGTAGACATAGTTTTCAGAAGAGATTGAGAGTGATAATTAAAGATGATTGAAGATGATTAAAACATGATTAAACCTATGATACGTGGTCACCCTCCTCCGTACCCCCCTGTCCTGTGGCTGCCTCCGCCAAAAAAGAAAATCCTAATTGTAGACCTTCCTCGCCAGCCCCAGCTAGGAACAGTCCCACACTCCCCCCCCTAATCCCCAGAGGCATACAGTTCCCACCTAAAGTATGCCTTTGCCTGCCCCTTACCCTAATCTGCCCCCACTGAGGTTTGAAGTCTCCCCTCCGCCCCAGAATAGAGTATCCCCACAGATCTACTCATACCCCCTTCAGGGCTTCGCTACCCACCTTGTGCAGCCCCTGCAGAGCAGAGCTTGGCCCCCCATCAACCAACCTACCCATTTTCGAATGATAATCCCAAAGACTAACGAGAGAGGACCAAAGTCTCTAAGTAGAAAAATTGCACAGGAATATAGAGACCAGATTTTTATTTTTATTTTTATTAATATCAATTACAAATAGGAATAAAATTATGGGAATACTGTGGAGTTCCACGACAGAATCAGACGTGAATCGCCTGAACCAGGGCTGGGCTGGCAACCGGCCAGTCGAGCTGGCCTGGTCCAACCGGGGCCGGACCGGGCCAGGGGGGGTCAACCGGCAAACCAGATGGCCCAAAAAAATGCCCAAATTTTTTTATTTATTTTTTTCCTTTTGCGGGATCCAACTGCGCTTGCCGAGATCTGTTGGATTCCGCAATAAAACTTTGAATGTCGGATTTTTTTTTTGTGGTGTGCCGGGAGGAGGGGGGGGGGGGTCGAGGTCGAGAGTGGTAAGGGGGATGTTGCGTTCAGGGTTTGCAGGCCTGCAAACAACATCATGCATACAAAATGGAAGTGAAGCCAGACAATACTATGAGGCAGAAGACTGTGAAGAACGGAAAGGCAAAGAAAAAGAAGAATAGCAGAAGAAGAAAAGAGGGAAGGAGGAGAAGAGGAAGAAGAAGAAGAAGTAGAAGAAGAAGAAGAAGATGAAGAATGGAAAGATGAGATTCGTGACAGAAAATTAAATAAAGATGATGATCTGCAGCAGTCTTTCATGTTCACGGTGGAACTCTCTCTCTCTCTCTCTCTCTCTCTCTCTCTCTCTCTCTCTCTCTCTCTCTCATATTTGGAATCCCCTTCGCTAATCTCGTCGTCGGGCGACTCTGCACCACAGCCATCTGAGTCGGGGTCATCCTCCGAGACTTGCACTTTGCGGGGCCATCCACGACCACATTCCGACTTTGGTGGAGCTTTGTGCCCCGTCTTCTCCTTGCGGGGCCTCCCGCGGTGGCGATGTGGTGTGGGGACTTCATTCACCGGAGCCTTCCTTTTTCGCCCCACCCTGCTTTTCCAGATGTTGTCATGTTGGGCATCCTCATTCTGTGCTGGGTACGGGGGTCTGCCGGAGTGGGCCGCTGCTGCTCTCACCGTTGATCCGAGTTTTTCTGGCTGCTCCGCAGCCACAGCCTGCTGGTCCTCCCGCGGCTCTTGCGGTGCAGGCTGCTGCAGTGGCGGTAGGCGGGGTCTTCGTGCGTAAACCGTTGGTGGTGCTGGTTGTTGCAGTTCCTCTCCGTCTTTCTGCTGAGTTTTTTCCGCATCCTCCATATCACCCCCATCTCGTGGCAAACTTTTTTCTCCTTCTTGCTGCACATTTTTTCCCCGAGTGCTTCAATATCCACTCCCGCATGCTGCAAACTCCCTTCATGTTCTGCACGCACGGCAGACTCATCTACCTCCATGTTGTCCACCCTTTCATCCTTTTCATCACTATGCTGCTCCTCATGTTGGCTGACCTGTTTGCTCCATCTCTCTCTCTCCCTCCGGGTGGGGAAAGCAGCACGGCAAGCCTCCTCCTCACACATCCGCCTCTGAACTAAGTGGCATCCCTATCTGCCATAGCCTTCGCCCGAGAAGCTTCCTCCTCGTCGGCATCAGGCGTAGGGTGCGCCAAGAACTCAATATCGGTGTCCAGTCTGTCGATGGCCTCGGAAGGTAGCACCTCTGCCTCCTTCTCTCGCCTCCTAAGCCTCCGACCGACATACGTAGTGGCTGGCACTGCTGGCTTGCCCCCCAACTCGAAATCTAAGTCCTCTCCAGTGTCATCCTCACCGTCGCTCTCCTCGGAAGTCGACTCATTCCAACACTTCCCCTTCCACACGAGATCCTCAAGATCGCTGCTCCCACTTGAGTCGTCATCCAACAGGCTCTTCGGAATCCGGTCTTTCGAAGTCTTCTTCAGTCTCTTTTGCCTCTTTTCCTCCTCGATATTGTCTGCTGTCTCATCCTCCGTGGCGTCCTCGACAGCTACATCTTCCGCTGTCGGTTCCATCAACGACTCGAAGAAGGATCCCCACACATCGACTTAGCCATTGTCCTTGCTATTTAGAACATGCGGCAACTGCATGTTCCAGTGAATGTAAACCAGCTTCTCCAAGGACTCTGGCGAGAGACTGTTTCTGCGCTTCGAATGGACAAAGTCCATCGATGCCCAGTTCCGCTCCGCGGGTGTCGCCGTGCTCCATATTCCCAACACGTTGATGGTGATCTGCTGCAACTGTGGAACATCCCCACCGTACAAGGTCCACCAGTCCACAGGCGTACGTCGCAATGCTTGTTTGATGGCAACTGGTGTCCACATATGTTCATATGTTCTGACTTCCCCTTCCACAGGTTCTCTCAAAAACTCGTACAGATGATCCCAGATGTCCATGTGCGGCTTCGAATCCGACTTCGCTTCGATCTGCCTGCAGAAGAAGCGCATTGCGTTTTGCACGAGGGCGCTGTCCGGATCGTTGAGCCAGCCTGGGTCTCTCGTCCATGGATCCAACAAAAACGCAGCTGCATGAACGGGCTGCCGCATCATCTGCACATGGTCCTTGACCTTGTCCATCACATCCTCCCTCTCCTTCTTCGTGGGTACGACATTTGCTAATTTCCTCGCAATGAGATCGTCGAACTCCATGAGGTTGGTGGGAGAAACTCCTTCCCTGTCCATCCTCTTCGGGAGGTTGTACACCGGCTCCATAATTGCCACAATTTTCCTCACTATGGCCCACCAACTCTCTGACCTCACAGTGTAGTAGACAAGGTCGACTTTTTTCTGCAGCTTCTCTCCCGACCATCTCAATGCCCGCCACTTCGCTGCACAACCTTCGTCCACCATCTCATTCAACACTTCCTCCCTATCCGTTAGCCTCTGCAACACTTGGTACACCGACCCGAACCGGACCTTTGTCGGGCGCAGCAATGACAACGAGTCATCGATGGACATCATGAGACCGTGTGTGACGTGATGGTTCCTGATGAACTTCACGATCGTGTTCGCCGTCTTCACTGTGTCCTTCACCCAAGGCAAACTGCTGAGGTCCTTCAACAACAGACTGCAGCAATGCGCTCCACATGGCACCCACGGTATCCTTGCAACGTCTCTGTCGGTCCGCCTCTACATGATTTGCGCCGCCTTCTTGTTGACCTCAGCGTTGTCTGTGCAAATCGCGTTGATCCGTTTGAGCCCGATCTCCCGCATCACTTGCTCTCACAATTTCGCCAATGCTGTCGCATTTTTCTTCCTCCCAGTCATGTAAACTGTGGTCACCAGAACTGCTCCTTTCTCCCCCGCTGCTAGGATATTCATGACTGGCCGGTTCTTGCGATCTGCTGATCCGCTGTGATGAATGTGCAGCCGGTTTTGTCCCAACAAGCAGTAAAGGGGTTGATTGATTTCTGGACCTTCGGGAAGATGTAGTCCAACATGACAGTCCACATATGCTTGTAGGTAGGCAACTTCACCTTCGACTTTGCATTGGCAACCTCCATGTAAGCGTCGTGAAGAGCCTGCGGGGTGTCGAAGTTCAAGAAGTTGAAAGCAATTCCAGCCCTGAACATTGCTTCCGCCCATGCAATGTCCAACTTTTTTGTGCGTTGTTGTCAATCCACTTCCTTATTGTGGTCTGCATCTTCGCCAGCACAACACGGGCGGCCCCTCCACCGGTGCCATCATCACCCTTCACTGCAGCTTCGTCATCTGTTGTTGCGATCGTTGCAGCAAATTGTGGAACAGACCGCCCTCGAATAGGCGGAGGCACCGGCCAAGACGATGGATCGTCTGCATCTGATGCATCCTCCGGAGCCTCATCGCCCCCCCCTGTGCCCCTCGCAAATCCTCTGAAGTTTTGCAGCAAGTACCGGGTGTTCTTGTATTGGGGTTGACCTTGCCACACTGAGTAACAAGCTCATCCACAATCTCCCCTGTCCGGAAAGGACACGGTTTCTGCACTTTCAAGAAATGCTCCACTGCCTTTGTTGATGAGCCCCTGAACACCTTGGAACAAAGGCGACACTTCAGCTAATACTCCCCACGTCATGTTGGGACTGCCTCCTGTCCCTGTTCGACCCACTTCCAGATTGCATTCTTCTTCAACGGCTTCTTATGCTCGTTCTCGTCCTTAGCTTGAAAGAGATCAGGATCAGTGGCAGGTGTTGCTTCCTTGTTGATGGCCGTCGTTGTTGACTGCGCTGACTTGCTTAACGAAGGTTTGGCGGAAACAGTCTGCACTTGCTCTCTCCCCTTGCCTGCATCGGTGCTGCCTAGCCTGTCTCGTCGGCCCAGCCCCGCCACTGCCATCACCCGCCATAATGTCTCCCACGATGATGTGGGAAAATAAAAAATCGGCTATGGCTAATGGAGGAGGACGAGAAGAAGAGGAGGAAGAAGAAGATGGCAAAAAAGAGGGAGGAGAAAAGTAGGACGAGGAGGTAGAGGAAGAAAAAGAAGAAGTATGCAAGGAAGATGAAGCAGCTTCGGGAAAAAAATAAAAAAACGGCTATGGCTAACGGAGAACGAGGAGAAGAAGAGGAGGAGGAGGAGGGAGAAGAAGAAGAAGATGACAAAGAAGAGGGAGGAAAAGAAGAGGATGAGGAGGAGGAGGATGGAGAAGAAGAAGAAGAAGAACGCAAGGGTGGTTAAAGCAGCAACGAAAAAATAAATAAAAAAAATGACTATGGCTAACGGACGAGGAGGAGATGAAGAGGAGGCGGAGGAGGAGGGAGAAGAAGAAGAAGATGACGAAGAAGAGGGAGGAGAAGAAGAAGAGGACAAGGAGGAGGAGGAAGAAGAAAATGATGAAGAAGAGGGTAGAGAAGAAGAGGAGGAGGAGGAGGAGGGAGAAGAAGAAGAAGAAGAAGAAGAAGAAGAAGAAGAAGAAGAAGAAGAAGAAGAAGAAGAAGAAGAAGAAGAAGAAGAAGAATGCAAGGGAGTTGAAGCAGCAACGAAAAAAAAATAAAAAATTAACGGCTTTGGCGAACGGAGGAGGAGAAGAAGAGGAGGAGGAGGAGGGAGAAGAAGAAGAAGATGACGAAGAAGAGGGAGGAGGAGAGGAGGAGGAGGAGGGAGAAGAAGAAGAAGATGACGAAGAAGAAGGATGAGGAGAGGAGGAGGAGAGGAGGAGGAGGAAAATGACAAAGAAGAGGGGAGAGAAGAAGAGGAGGAGGAGGAGGTGGAGGAAGGAGAAGAAGAAGAAGAACGCAAGGGAGTTAAAGCAGCAACGACCAAAAAAAAAAAAAAAACAGCTACACCTGATGGACGTGGAGGAGATGAGGAGGAGGAGGAGGAGGGAGAAGAAGAAGAAGAAGATGAAGAAGAGGGAGGAGAAGAGGAAGAGGAGGAGGAGGAGGAGGAGGAGGAGGAAGAAAATGACGAAGAAGAGGGGAGAGAAGAAGAGGAGGAGGAGGAGGAGGAGGAGGAGGAGGAGGAGGAGGAAGAAGAAGAAGAAGAAGAAGAAGAAGAAGAAGAAGAAGAAGAAGAAGAATAGTGAAAACAGGGGCCTTGA